TTTGTTTGGGTTAGTTTTGATTTGGGGGTTAGTTTTGTTTTACTTTGACAAAAGATTTCATTGATTTATATATAAATATATAGACATAGATATAGATTATAGATTGAAATTTCCAGTTTGTTATTCAGACTACATTGTGGACATTAGCTTCTGAACTTTAGAACAATGTGGGAAAAGATATGTAATAAAAATTGATTTCATAATTTCTTAGCACTATTAAGCTCTGTTTATTGAAATGTTTATGATATGAAAGTTAAAGAACAGTTTGCACCTTTTCTTCCTACTATTCAAATTTGAACTTGTATCACTGGTCCCAAAGAAGGCCCAGTGTAAATAAATAACAGTATCAGGTTGAATCAAACACTTAACTCAGAGTAATTAAAAAAAAGACTCCACTAATCGAGAAAAATGTTGGGAGTTCCTATTTTGACTAAAAGTGAAGAAAAGAAAAAAAGAATGAGCAAACTAAAACCTCTTGCAATGATGTGGCTGGGATTCGTAACAGAAGGAGGAGGATGCTTTCCATAAGTTGTTTGAAATATAAAGAAATGTGTTGCTAGCATATGAATATCAGATAGGCTGACAGCACTATTAGAGGTAGGAAGGATGTGCAGAATATAGCCACTAAATGTAGTGACAAGTTTGAGTGACAGATAAAGAATAAAAGTGAACAATTTTCCTGATAACATGTCAGGAAATAAATGTTCCTTTCAGAAGGAAAAGATATATATGGTTGCAAACTCAAGCGGCCTCCCATGTGGTGAACTTCTTAAACCCTGACAGAACTATAATTTTGGCCCAAAATGGAGCAGTCCTTTTGTAGAAATTGTTACCTCTTCACTTCATTGAAGGTTTACAACAGTTTATTCAGACTGTTTCTGTCCAATTTAAACAATATGTTTTATACTGACATTGTCCTGTCTACTACATAATAAGAAATCCAAGAATAGTTTAGGCATTCTGTTTTCTCTATGACAAAGGTCATTGTAAGTTCAATTGCACAACCCAGAGCACATTGCATTAGTCTTTGTAAAATATGCCATGTTTTGGAAGCTATCTATTTCAATATAACAACAACAACAAAATTTCTATCTCAATTTAACATCAAAATATTTCAATTGGAAGGTGTAAGAAAAAATCTCCTAAATTATTTAGAACATGGCTGTATCAAACGATCAATAAAATCTTGTCTTAGCCAAAATGAATTTGAATGATTAGTATTTAGACTTCTCAGAAATCGTAGTGTATCAAGAGGCAAAAGAAGAAAATAATGGACTTCTACCTCAACTGCAATGCACAAAAGTTCATAGGATAAAGAAAACTCCACAGTGAAAGTTCATCATTGTGGAGATGAAGGAAAAATAATGGATTTTTTTCTATGTGCTTCTGAAAACACAGTGCTTTAAAGGTTCCTCTGACCTTAGAAAATAAACTAATTAGCTAACTGCAACTTTACTAAATAATAACTGAATTAGCTAACTGCAACCTACTTCTACACCATTTTGAAAATCTTACAATCAATATTAAGCCTGTCACCCATTACTTAGTTTCAGTTCAGCTAAGGAAAGCAGTCACTAAATAACACAAAACTCTCTGCACCTCAAACCATCAAAGAAACCTGAAGCACATTACAGAAATGATTATCTGAGTTCTAAGAATTTTCTAGTAATAAACTATATAGTTTGGATAAATAGGCTTCAAAGGACTTTTTTTTGGTCGGTTGCGGGTCCTGAACTCTGAGCCTGGGTGCTGGCCTTGAGCTGAAAATCAGATTTAAAAAATCAGACTCGATTTTTTAAAAATAATAATTGATTATAGTCATGTTAACATATGCTGTGACTTAGGAGATTCTCACTTCTGCCCAGAAATTCCAAGAAATGAGTTAAAACATTACTTTCACAAGCTGTTACATTTCACTGTTTCTGTATTGAGTTTTCATAGTATACCTCATGGCAATTGTTATTTCCACTCAGTAAAATGATCAGAATTTCACTTTGTCCAAATTTCAGTTTTGATCTGTGCATAATGCATCTCATGGACCAGGAGATAGCCTGAGGAGAAACCAGAGGCAACAAGCGAGATGAAGCTCTTCAGTAAAGTTCCTGAACTACCTCACTCCAGACTTCTTTAACCTAAGGGAAATGGATTTGTCTCATGTTTAATCTGAGGTTATTTGGATTTTTCCTGTGACATTTAGTTAGACTTGATCTTCAGTGGTATGCAAGTATAGAAATGAAATGGTGTCATTTTTTATTTGCCTGTTTGGGGCAGTATGAACTGATTTGAAGGTCTTACACATGTTAAATATATACTCTACCACTAAACTACTTATTAAGCTCAGATATCTGTTTACTGAAATATGCTGAACAAAGTCTCAATGGGGACATGTTCCACTGAAGAGCATATTTATTGAATTGAAGCTCCAAAATCATGGCAAAGTTCCATAATTCTCCATTGAGTTCACTAAAATCTTTGGCCTTCTTGCCTACACATAATTATATTCATTCAATATAAATTTTTACTTGTTTTCCCGTCTTTGTTAATTATAGGTCCTATAATGTAAAAACATTTAATTAAAGTACTTTATAAATATTATGTATGTCTAAATAAATACTTCATTAGCTTTAGAATAAAAAAGTATTGGCAGTGTATTGTTTTCTGCCTTCTATTGAAAGTACATACCTTCATTTTTAATGTTATGGATTAAATTGAAGTTGTGAAGAGGGATAAACTGAAGACAAATCAACATTTATATTATATTTGCTCCAAGAAAAGTCATTCTGAGTTTCAAACAAGCAAATTAAAATCAAAATTTTAGAAAACATATTGCTAAACTGGTAGATGAGGTCATCTAACATGCAAAGTACAAAAGTTACCACTATAGTTTCTGAGTTTTTAGAACTAGGAAATATTAGCATATTCCTTGAGCACAATTTACTAATCTTAAATTTCACCAAATTTATTAAGATTTTATTCTCGGGCTGGGAAGGTGGCTCAGTGGTAGAGCGCTTGCCTTGCATGCCTGAGGCCCTGGGTTCAATTCCTCAACACCACATAAGCAAAAAGAAAAAAGCCGGAAGTGGTGCTGTGGCTCAATGGTAGAGTGCTAGCCTAAAGCTGAACAGCTGAGGGACAGCGCCCAGGCACAGAGTTCAGGCCCCACAACCGGATCCCCCCACCCCAAAGAAAAAAGATTTTATTCTCTGAAAATACCATAGTTTTTGCATTCTTAAATGAAAATATTAAGCTGAATCAAATTTTACACATATTTCACTTATCTGTCATACAGATAAGTGAAAAGCTACTAAGTACTTTTACATATGTTTTAATATGAGTAGTGGAATTTTATATAGTTTTATATAGTTTGTAAAACTATATTCCAGCCATCAATATTTTTGCATCTTATAGAAGCATCCGTTTTCAAGTTTTAACCAGTATAATCTTATTTTAGCTTTAATTAATAACATTAACACTAGTCAATATTTTCTGAACACTTATTTGGGGCTAAGTACTGATGTCAGAACTTTAAATATTTCACAAATTCTTAAATTAAAAAATGTCAGCATGACATCTCAACCCATGTAGACAGAAGACAGAAGAGCTTTTTATTCAAACTCAAGTCAGCTGAGCTCTGAATCAGATAACTATGAGCTACCACTTAACAATGAACTAAAGGACCATAATTCCATTATTTTTGTCATTAAATTTGTCTTCTAATAGAAGTTAGTTATATTGGTGCAAAAATGCTTGTTAATCAAATTCCTCAAAGCAACATGCAAGTTATAGAGTCACCATAATGTCAGTGAAAAAAAGAGCTTACCTGACCCAGATATAAATTTTGCCTGATATGACTGTTTTTATATAAATAGAAAAACAAATAACTTCATTATGTAAAAACCTATAAATTGTTGTTATCTTTGGGTTTCCTGAGAATCCAGGTAACAAAGTAATATGATAGGCTGTATAAGTCTTATTATCAAGACTGAGTAAAACATTTTATATCTGATTATAAGATAAATGGGCAATTTTATTGCATATATGGAGAAACATACACTGCAATTTCATAAATATCAGCGGTACAGAGAAAAAAGAGGTGATAATATATGCTTGTATGCCATGCCTCTTTGAAAACCAACAGAATATCAACAATGTATAATTCTATAATAAAGTTATCATGGTTAATAGCTATATATATAAATATATACATTTATTCTACTGGAATTAAATTTCCATTCACCTAATAATCCACTGTATGTATAAGATGTAGAAACATCAGGTAACTCTGATCACCTAGATGTTTTACCTGATACTTATTTTCTGCAGCTTTAGTATTTCTTTGAGTTGTAAAATATTGAACAGACTGTATTCTCCCTTTGTGCTAAAATCTGGTCAGATATTTATGCACTTAAACATAGCATTCTTTTGCTATCCTGCAGCATCTCCTCACATAGTTGATACTCATTTACCTATACATATAAAATTGTGCTGTTACATATGCATTGATCCATCCTACTTCCTACTAAGGTTGTAAACCCAAAGACAGGCAGCCATGAAGCAAGTGCAAGAGCAAAGCCACCTGAGATGACCTAGAGTGTTCCTATCCCCCACTTTCAGCAGGTCATCAGAGGATAGCAAAGCCATCCTTATGCATGTTCGTACTAAGGGAGCTTCCTCTGTGTGAGCATTTGCTCTGAGAATGAGGTCATAATAATAGACACAATGAAGGTGAGATGAGGAAGTGCCATGACCTTTTTCCTCATTAAGATATCTTGTAAAATATAGAACTTGATGGTCCCTCATAAGGAAACTTAATTACACATTTTCAATTCCTACTTTTTATTACACCTTCAAAGATGACATGTAGCAGTCTTACCTTAGATATATTGAGGCATAAAAGCAAAGCAGAGCATACATAGTTGCTTACCTAGTACACAAAGGTACTAAGTAACTTAATGCTTATAAAGCACTTGGACTAAAGGAACAAAGGATTAACTCCTTACCACATCACTGAAACAGATGTCCATATGGTTCTATCCTCCATTAATTGGACTTAGATGTTGTACGCCTTTGATGGTTATGAAAGTGGGTGATGTGATTATAAGATCCCCTTCGTAGAGCACTTTATCCATGAATAAAATTGTCTTTATCCTACAGAAGAAAGTATTTCTCAGCTTGAAATTATTATACAAATAGCCTTAGGCTTATCATGTGCAAAATTGTCTTTGAGTCAGGTGCCTTTTGTAAGAAGTTTCTTTAAAAAAAAAAAAAAGAGAGAGAGAGACAGAGAGAGAGAAAGAAGAATCCTTTTGTACCACATGATGCTGTCTTATCTGTTAGCTAGACTATGTTACCAGTTCAGATCCTTTACTGGTGGGTGAATTAAGTTTAAAGGTAGATAAAATAAAGGTATAGTTACACTATGCAAACTGATCTGGAAAAAAATTAACAGGCAGTTTACCTATCATAACATTGCACACATCAAGTTCATTAAGCTTAGTGCTAGAAAACATGTAATTCATACTCAGTGTGAATGTGAGAGATATTTTACTTAGCTTTGTAATCAAATGTTGGGGTTATTTTAAAGCAACAAAGAATGAAAAGTTCATAAAATGTGTTGTCTCAATCTCAGATTTGAAGTGAATAGTAGGGTCAAGATTTTAGTGCTGCTTTTTGCTATTTTGTTTTTAGTTTGTGAGAAAAATAATTTGAAATGCCTTTTTTTTAAATTTTATTTTATTTTATTTGAGAACATACTGTACAGTGGGGTTACAATTACATGGGCAGGATAATGCATACATTTCTTACCAAGCATTGCAGCCTCCTCCTTTGTTTACCCTTCACCTCCCTTCCCAGCCTCCCCCCCTCCCCCCCTGAAATGCCTTTTGTCTTTGCATTTTTTCTACTAAAACTGAAATTTTAAGTTGAAAATCTGCACTGTTGGGCTGGGAAGGTGGCTCAGTGGTAGAGCACTTGCCTTGCATGCTCGAGGCACTGGGTTCGATTCCTCAGCACCACATAAGCAAAAAGAAAAAAGCCGGAAGTGGCGCTGTGGCTCAAGTGGTAGAGCACTAGCCTTGAGCTGAAGAGCTGAGGGACAGCGCCCAGGCCCAGAGTTCAGGCCCCACAACCAGACCCCCCCCAAAAAAAAAAAAAAGAAAATCTGCACTGCCTATGAATCAATTTTCCTTGAAAAAATACATACTGTTCAGACTAGATCATTTCTACATTGTTTTGGTTAGAGTATTTCTATTTCAACATCTGGTAGTTAGCAATTTGTCTTCCTATAGACATAGACACTCTGGTAAGAATTTTGTAGATGAATTTAGCTCTCTCTTTCAACAAAGCAAGTATTGTACGAAGCCCTACACATCTCAATGAGTATCCAATATAAAACCTCTTTGACTCCTATTCTCAGATATTTTTTTCTCAGATATTTTTGAAAGTGGAAGTCAAACCATTCAGAAGGGGTGATCCATTATATTTATACTAAAAGCAAAAGACAGACACAGAAACTCACATAGCTCTCTATTCACCCATAAAAAAGACAAAAGACAAAAAAAGACTGATATCATCTACAGCTTTTCCCATTTTCCTCAAAGTCAAAAACACATAGAAGCTCAAAATGAGAAAAAGATAATTCTCATAACTTTCCAACAAAAGTGCATACTACCAAAGGAATATGGAAAATGTGTCTACATAAGTCCAATGAGATTTTTTTTCCCTAAAGAATTTTTTAAAAATCTGGAAAATCTAAGCACACAATTTTAAAACATAAGACATTACACATAGCAATATTAGGAATGCTACTTGGATTTTCTAGTGACAGGGTGGTAGCATTTTCTAAAGATTCTGTGCCCTAATTGATTAAGTTCCATTGTTCCGTACAAGAAGTGAAACAAGGTTAAAATATCAAGAAAATGAGCTCAAAACCAGGCTTTCTTGGTACACACTGGTAATCCCAGCGTTCAGGAGGCTGAGCGAGAATCTCAAGGCAAGCCTGAGCCACATGAAGAGATATTATAAAAATAGGGAACCCACAGGACAGTATATTGGAAACGAACTTTACAATTTCAGATGGGAGGGGGGAGTTTTAGGGGCAAGTGTGGGAGATGGGGGAGGGAAAGGATAGTGGGACAACAATAAGGAAGGGAAGGGGTAACAATGATCGACAAGTAATGTGCTCATTGCCTTACTCGTGTAACTGTAACCCCTCTGTACAACATCTTTACAATTAAAAAAATAGAGAAGGAACTAATGAAGAAAGAAAAGGAAAGGTGAGAGGAGAGCAGGGGGAGGGATTAGGGAAGGAAGAAAAGGGAAGGGGGATGGGAAATAAAAAGAAGAGGATGAGGGGCTGGGAAGTTGGCTCAGTGGTAGAGTGCTTGCCTCGCATGCATTAGGCCCTGGGTTCGATTCCTCAGCACCACATAAGCAGAAAAAAGCTGGAAGTGGTGCTGTGGCTCAAGTGGTAGGGTGGTAGCCTTGAGCTGAAGAGCTGAGGGACAGTGCCCGGCCCAGAGTTCAGCCTCCACAACCCGACCCAAAAATAAAAAGAAGAGGATGAAGGGACGGGAAGGGGAGGGAGGGGAGGGCAGGGAGGAATTGAGCTAATGAAAGAAAGATGATGACTCATTTCATCCCAAAACATCTGGCTAGTCAACACTAATCTCTCATATTTTTCAAAATATAACTATAATATTATCCTTAATAAATGTTGTGGGCTGGGTGGGGCCTAGCTCAACTGGGAAAGCACATGCCACACACAGATGAGGCCCTAGGTCCAATTCCCAGTACTGGGAGAAAAAAGAAGAAATTTTCTTACAGCTATGGGTTCACCTACTCCACTTGCTTCTTATTTAACTCAGCCTTATTATTTACTATGAGTGAGCCCATAACTCACAAAACATTTAGCTTTTATCATTGTTTGATCTTTCTCTCCTACACTGAATTTCATGAGAAATCCACTTCTTCTATACCATAGTTATACACTGATACACACAGGCCTGGCTAAATAACTGTTGCTATTGCATTGCTACAAGAGAGGTTTTACTATAATTTACCTGGATTTCCAATCATGAGAGGGACAATCAGTGCAGTCCATTTTAGTGTTATTTACTAAGAATCAAAATTTCAATCATATAAGAAGGAATAAACTGAGCATGGGTTCATGTAATACTTTATTAGCATTGAAGAACACTATAGTGATCTGAAAACTTAAGAAAATGATTTTAAAATAACTTTGAAATTAATTCTAATTTTCTATGATATTCCATTGTTCATCATTTATTTTGAGGTTTTAATATTTAGTATATAAATTTGGATAGAAAGCAAACAGAGCTATTGTTTAGTCAAATTAATTAATATTAGTACCACAGGTAAAAACCCAATGGTGAAAAAGAAGATAAACTTCAGTATCTACTGGCATACTTCTGTTACATTCACCATCAATTATTTCAGTCTTCATTAATTAGTTATATGAGACACAAACATGTGTTCTTCAAGGAGTTGGTCTCATTATAATTAGATAAGTATGGCTTCATAGAGATCCACTCAGCATATTACATAGCCCACATGCAAGATAGCCTGTAGTAACTCCACTCTTTATTATTATAATTTCACTATATTGTTAAAGAGTGATCTCATTGGTAGGAGAAGGACAATAGAATAAAGTTGCATCCAGTAACAGACAGGTCATATTTGAAAGCAAGAAAAATAAAATAATTCTAGGAGAAAGCTCAGAAAAAAAATACCGAGCAATTGTTAGGTGGTTTGGGTTGTTGTTTTTTTTTTTTTTCATTTATTTAATGGCTTGGTTGGAAATTTAACTGGACACTAACACATCTTTAAACCTAATGGCAAGGAATTTTTATTCCGTTCAATTACAAATTAAAATCGTTGCTCTTTTTACATGTATATAGTTGATATGCTCAGGATTTTTAAGTAACTGAACTTACAATTTTTCCAAGCTGGTTTTTACTTTTCAAATAATTTTTACTGTTGCTGCAGTTACTATTTTATACTATAATAACTACATTGTACATGTTAATTAACAGGTGATAAATAATGGAGTGGTATTTAAGGAAATAACACCTTTACAGATATTTCCCAAATCACCCTGGGGAATCTACCTTCTACCTATAACTTGAACTTAGAACCTTGCCATAGTCAAAATCATAATGGTACAGGCTGCATCATGAGAACTAACATCTCTCAGCACTAACAGGAATGAAACCTTACCTAAGAGTCTGGTCTGTGAATGATATCAATCTCCCTGACTTAGGATCAGCCTTAACTGAATTGTTTTCTTCATGGGTGTGACATCCACTGGTGGATAAAATTAATTGATGACTCAAAGGAGATATAATTCTCAGCTTACTTAGCCAAAACCTTCTTAGAAATTCTCTTCTGGAAGTGAAATTCCCTTTCATAGTCTCAGAAACCATTGAACAGCTAGGGATTAAAATGTTAAGTTGCTCTTGAAAGACCAATGTTAGGGTTTTTTTCTTTCTTTCTTTCCTTCCTCCTTCCTTCCTTCCTTTCTTTCTTTCTTTTTTGGTCCAATGAGCCCAAAAGTAAAGTGGCTCATTTTAAACTTCTAAGTATCTTAGTATAATGTTCACAGAAAGATTTATTGTAGGCATTCTTAATTTAACTATTTTTATAATTTTATTATTATTAAAGTGTTATATGGAGGGGTTACCATTTCATAAGTCACTCCCATCCTATGCTTCCCCCAGTTTCCCCCTCCCATCCCTTCCCACAAGTTGCATAGATCATTTTCCACATAGTGTATACTAAATAGCATAACTGCATTTGTTTACGCTTCCTCCTTCCCCTTTCTGTGTCCTGCTTTACCCCCACCTGATTTTAAAAAATCAAAGCAAAAATAAACACTTGCACTACCACCACCATCACCACCACTACCACCACCACCAACAACAACAAAATTTCCATTTCCTGGAGCTCATTTTGATAAGTAGTATTTTAACATGTTCAAAGAAGTTATGCCTTTGTGTTTCTCCATTATGGTAATCTTCCTTTAGTCTGACTGTGTGTGAATGCCTAGAAGTCCTGTACAGATTACCACATCTAGTTATTTGTTAGAAGTAGCTCCAAGTATGAGATGAAAAGATGTGCCATTCATCTCT